TCGTATTATTTGTCACGATTAATGGAAAGAACGACACGCGTTTTGATTACCCTTCCACAAATTTGGCAAGCTTTTTATCAAGACCATGGAGGATCGTGATGACAACCGGTGTCAAAAAGAGAGATTTTTATTCGAAGCGAAAGCATTGGTTAGCGGATTTTGTCGCAGCTTCGAGAGCCTTTTTATGGAGTTTCCTATGCGATAAAATACCAGACACAGTGATATTAAATTTCTGGTTATACGAGATTTTTCGTTGCGCGCGGGACCTATCTCAGTGGCAGATGAAGGATGGAAAAATAATATAAAACGCGGATTTACGCGCGTGTTTTGTTTGGTATTTTCACCGAGTTACAGCTACCTTTATACCCCCGTAACGTATACTTGGTTACATTTATAGAAAGTACTAGAACAGGGAATCCTTGCTCTAAAATAAGACCTTTCGATATTTAAACATCATACCTGTCTTTCTTTTTATAAAATACATTTATATAATATTTTTCATCCCGATAAACAGGAGATTCGGGGAAAAAGGAAAAATATTTGCAAGCCACGAGATGACCCGAGAGAAATTTCATAATATTCGCGAAATTGCTCGATCCCGTCCACACCGTGGCCGAAACAACTGGATTAACGTCACTTCTAGCCAAGTCATGCAATCTGGCTGAATGCGAGTCGGATGGTTTACCCTGGTCACATCTGCGTGTGACAAACCCGATGCTCTTCGCGCATTGTTTCCCCAGCTGGTGAATAACACTCGTTTTCCGTGTTGCATCGGGGAACGCGTTGTTGAATCAATCGATTCTAGGCTTTATATTTTCGGCAACACAGGGGAGCAATTTTCAAATTTTCTGCGCGATACCTTTGAGGCAACTCGCAGTAATTTAAATCGAGGCAATAAAGTTTGGTCAACGGGATCAAATTAGACCGGTGAAAATTGAACAACCTCGATTGGCACAAATAGAAAATAAATAAAGATTACTTCCTTCTCCGCTGGAAAATTTTGGGAAAGCTGTTGCAACGACCATAATCATGTTCGCAATCTCATTGCTAGGCGGATTAAAACTGTAAGAGTAAGCGAGCTCTGGTTACCACAAGATGGCGCGAGTGAGGAGCATGTAATGGCGATCGTCTCGATCCGCGAATAGACAAAGCTCCTTTAAAAAGGGTGAACTGAAAAGCGAAGAGGACAGTTTTATGCCAATAGACGAGAGAATACTGTAGGAAAATAAAGTATGGTCAGCCATCGAAAATTAGAATTATTTAACCTAGCCATTTCCCCTCCTCCACTTACAAAATGGAGGTTCGAGGTTTCACAAATCCTCGGCGAACCCTCGACTTCCATGGATACAAATTCCTATCCTGTCTAAATATCCCCCGCCTAAGGAAGGGCCTTAGGGGGCTCAGATAGGGCCTGCTAGAAAGCCTTACCAACGAATCCACTAGCAGGTCAGGTCGAAAAGTATCCCCCTTCATTGCGACCATTTTACCTGCTGCTACCTGTCATAGCAAGACAGCCTACAGGCTGTCAACTGCCAACAGTAGGTACCACGAGACATCGTGCAACCCCATAGCATGGTCCTCACATCGTCGAATTGGAAAAAAGAATTCCCCACTCGATCCCCAGGAACCAAAGGATCCATTTAAACAACCTCGTTTCCATCTCCGGGACATGGCGCGAAGATCAACCCTTTGACTACTGCAGACTTTAAAACGCACCGGTCGTACCACACGGATAGGAATTCATTTTCAATGTCCGTCGAGAATGACAAAATTTTGGGTAGAGATGCGCCCTTCGTGTCAGAAAAGCAAACTGCGTTGAGCGCTTATATGCGCCCTCCGTGTCACAAAAGCAAAATTTCTGAGCGCGAATATGCGCTCACAGTAGCCAAGGGGTTAAACGCTGCGACTCCATGGAACACAGGTCGACGTATGAATCGCCTCTCCTCTTTTCGACGTCTTCCCCGCAAAACGAGCGCGTCGATATCGCGTCAATCAAAATTTCCAATCAACGACTGTCGTTTAAACGTTCGACGTGGAAATCCGCATAGCCGCGAGGAATTCGCGTCGGACAGGCGTCATCGATCGCCGAGCCACGCTCGTTAATCCTAAGACGTCCGCTGGTCGCCAATGTATCTTAATTAACTCCGTATAACGGGCGTAATTGTGGAATAAACTTGCGAGGAAACGGGATCCGGTGATAGACCCGTTGCAGAAACGAAGGAGCCGTGTCTCTGGGACTATTATGGTCGAAATTAACCGGTGACAAGGGTGCGGCCTGCAATAACTGGCCTGCTGGACGCAGCCTGCTCCTGTGTCAACCGACGAAGGGACCCATGACTCGTGTTTTCGAGACGCACAAACACGCGATACCTGTACAGCATACACATATGCACGAGATACGGGCGGGACAATGACACGTGGCTTGATTGACAGCTGGTTGCGAGACAATCGGGATTGCTATGACTCAGGAGGAACCGCCTCGGAGAAAGTTTGACGAGGATGAAGACGAGTGATGAAATTGGGATTCATTTTTGCAGAGGAGACACGTATTGATCGTTCACTGTCAATTCGTAATAATCGATTTGCGAAAACGAGGTTGGAAGAGTTGTTTGACACATGACGCAGGAGCAAGCCTTGACATTCTCTGGAGCAGTTTTGTGCCATAAGGTATACTCGGCAAACGGATTACGCAGGGATTTTTCTTTGAGTATCTTACGAGATAACGATACTCGGGATGTTATTAATTTATGGAAAATGTACAAGAGTGACATCCCTCCGTGGAAAGAATTTTACAACAGTCTTCTACCCTGGGACGTTCGCGGTTGAGTCCTCGAGCGTGTTCCGTGGTAATAGGGAAGGCAACAAGTAAATATTCTGGATAACGCGTGACTTGGATTTTCCAGAATTTTTATCCGCAAGGAAGAGCTTTTATAGAGGCTATTCGAGGGTTGCAAGGCTACCTGTCTTTGAAACTTTTAATATCGCGAAGCTCATTTGAAAAATTCTTGCGTACCTTCTTAGCATTAAATAAACCCTTTTGGGTAATTTCGCAGTGCTGTAGAAAGCAGTTGGAATATTTCAAGCAGAGGAAACGTGGGAACCATGGGATACAGAGTTTATCTTATCAATTACAACCCGTGTTGACGATATTCACCTAATTACCACGATTCTCCTGCATGGAGACGCAACTGGGGTAAATTTTGACAGCAGAGTCAGCAGACCAAGTATTCCTGCTACTCTCTAACGTCGTTCTGACTGTAATAATGTTAGGTTTACTTTACCAGCCGACACATATATCGCGTAACCGAGGGTGAAAACTACCAGCGAGGTATTTCTCCCGAACTCGAAGATATTCACGAACGATCGCCTATATTTCGCGACTTCCTTGGCCGGTTGCTCGTAAAGTCTTGCGTAAAGCAAATGTATCGTCCCGTATACGTTAGGCGCATTGACAGGAAACGAGAGAAGGTCGATACAGGATAGTTTATGCGTGGCCTACACATCGAAACCCTTATGTATTGACCGCGCAGTTTGGTTCGCGCCGTAAAGGTTTATGGCGTTTCTAGGGGTTGTTAAACCCTCAACGACCGCTGTCAATTGGCATTTTTTCAGGAACATGGCCAAACGCGCGGACCACGTATCGTTCAGTCGATATTTTCGTATCAGCGAGTGAATATATAAAAGTGTACACGTACCACGAGCAATTTTCTTCCTTTTACCTTAAAAATTCAGGTAAACGATTGATCTTGTATTGCATTTTCGTAGAAAGAATTTTTAAGGATGATTTCAGATATTCCTTCTCGCATGGCAAATTCATTATGACCTGAGTCATGCATTTAAGAATTTTATTCAGCCTGTATTGAACATTGTCATATTGCTGAGTGGACAGAGTGCTCGTTAATACGATTGACGAGTGTTTGGAACGGTGTGATAGAGCGGATTAAGGGGATGTTTAGGCTAGACTATCAATGGAGTGAGAAGAATGAATGAGTTTCTGGAATGCACGTGGAATTTTTGGATGCTTGGCAGTATAGAAATAGCGTGTGTTTGGTGCGTGTATAAGAAGGGATCCCAAGGGATTACTTCAAGAGTGTCAGAAGGGACGTCTGAAACTTGCTACTCAGAGTTAGTCGTGAGAATGACGAGTCACGTAGTGAGCTGTATTTCAATTAATAAAATAAATATTATTAAGAAAAAGGAAGGCTCTATTTCTATTACACCCATTCCTACAATATGTGCTTCACAGTATAATTATATCAAAGATGAATCTAGACCAGGTATACCTAAGGTTTGTTAGGCAAGGGTCAAACATTATTCGAAAACCCTATCAATTATAGCTCCAGAAATTTCATGTCAAATGGAACTTTAAGGCGCGTTCTAAAAATTATACAATTTCATCGCGTGTTAGATTGTTTACTTCTCCATCGCTCTTGCGAAAGCTAGAAAGCTTTCAACAGACGTACAGTTTCAACCCACAAATATTTTCATCCATCGAAAATTTCGAAAATAAGTAAAGATAAAGATTCATTCTTATCTTCAAATTTAGGTGGGAGTTTATTCTTTGACAATTTTATATTAAAAGATCCGCGAGCAATGTCTGTAATGGCGGCAAAATCGCGTATAGATGACACCTAGATAGATGACGAGTAATTTTTCCATATAATTTAATTCAAATAATTATCCAATGGATATTACAATTTAAAATTCGAATTGAACTATGTAATCGGTCAGATAGCCATCGCGAATATTTTCCACGAAACGCAACATTGACAATTTGACTCAAAATGAATGCACTTTACCTAATTTGTTCAAAAAATAAAAAATTCATACAAACTTTGTAAAATACACAGAGTACATTGTACATCTTTCCAAGTCCCAATTGGTTATTAATTTTCTACAGAAAAATATATACTCACTCGAGTATTCGCGTTCGGGTGACGTTCTTCATCGAGACATGTCAAGCAATTGTCATTCCACGTATAGAATTCGTTTTAGCTCACCTCCAGCGTGCCCCACTTGCCATCTTCCACCCTGACGAGCTCATAGGTGAAGCCGATCTCTTCGGAGAACTTCTGAAGCAGGTCGATGCAGAACCCGCTGCAGCACTGATAAACGCTCTCATTCTTCTGCGCCGATTGCATGTCCATCCTGAAAAACGACAGACACCGGTAACATCATGGTCCACTTGCTCTGTGCCACGTTTTATTGCTCCCTTTTCACACCAGCCGCAACGATCGTTCCTCGATCATGGCAGCAGTGAACTATTCGTCCAGGTTCTCCATTATGGACGACAAAACGGGTGTCAAATATTTCGAATTTGTCGTATTATTTGTCACGATTAATGGAAAGAACGACACGCGTTTTGATTACCCTTCCACAAATTTGGCAAGCTTTTTATCAAGACCATGGAGGATCGTGATGACAACCGGTGTCAAAAAGAGAGATTTTTATTCGAAGCGAAAGCATTGGTTAGCGGATTTTGTCGCAGCTTCGAGAGCCTTTTTATGGAGTTTCCTATGCGATAAAATACCAGACACAGTGATATTAAATTTCTGGTTATACGAGATTTTTCGTTGCGCGCGGGACCTATCTCAGTGGCAGATGAAGGATGGAAAAATAATATAAAACGCGGATTTACGCGCGTGTTTTGTTTGGTATTTTCACCGAGTTACAGCTACCTTTATACCCCCGTAACGTATACTTGGTTACATTTATAGAAAGTACTAGAACAGGGAATCCTTGCTCTAAAATAAGACCTTTCGATATTTAAACATCATACCTGTCTTTCTTTTTATAAAATACATTTATATAATATTTTTCATCCCGATAAACAGGAGATTCGGGGAAAAAGGAAAAATATTTGCAAGCCACGAGATGACCCGAGAGAAATTTCATAATATTCGCGAAATTGCTCGATCCCGTCCACACCGTGGCCGAAACAACTGGATTAACGTCACTTCTAGCCAAGTCATGCAATCTGGCTGAATGCGAGTCGGATGGTTTACCCTGGTCACATCTGCGTGTGACAAACCCGATGCTCTTCGCGCATTGTTTCCCCAGCTGGTGAATAACACTCGTTTTCCGTGTTGCATCGGGGAACGCGTTGTTGAATCAATCGATTCTAGGCTTTATATTTTCGGCAACACAGGGGAACAATTTTCAAATTTTCTGCGCGATACCTTTGAGGCAACTCGCAGTAATTTAAATCGAGGCAATAAAGTTTGGTCAACGGGATCAAATTAGACCGGTGAAAATTGAACAACCTCGATTGGCACAAATAGAAAATAAATAAAGATTACTTCCTTCTCCGCTGGAAAATTTTGGGAAAGCTGTTGCAACGACCATAATCATGTTCGCAATCTCATTGCTAGGCGGATTAAAACTGTAAGAGTAAGCGAGCTCTGGTTACCACAAGATGGCGCGAGTGAGGAGCATGTAATGGCGATCGTCTCGATCCGCGAATAGACAAAGCTCCTTTAAAAAGGGTGAACTGAAAAGCGAAGAGGACAGTTTTATGCCAATAGACGAGAGAATACTGTAGGAAAATAAAGTATGGTCAGCCATCGAAAATTAGAATTATTTAACCTAGCCATTTCCCCTCCTCCACTTACAAAATGGAGGTTCGAGGTTTCACAAATCCTCGGCGAACCCTCGACTTCCATGGATACAAATTCCTATCCTGTCTAAATATCCCCCGCCTAAGGAAGGGCCTTAGGGGGCTCAGATAGGGCCTGCTAGAAAGCCTTACCAACGAATCCACTAGCAGGTCAGGTCGAAAAGTATCCCCCTTCATTGCGACCATTTTACCTGCTGCTACCTGTCATAGCAAGACAGCCTACAGGCTGTCAACTGCCAACAGTAGGTACCACGAGACATCGTGCAACCCCATAGCATGGTCCTCACATCGTCGAATTGGAAAAAAGAATTCCCCACTCGATCCCCAGGAACCAAAGGATCCATTTAAACAACCTCGTTTCCATCTCCGGGACATGGCGCGAAGATCAACCCTTTGACTACTGCAGACTTTAAAACGCACCGGTCGTACCACACGGATAGGAATTCATTTTCAATGTCCGTCGAGAATGACAAAATTTTGGGTAGAGATGCGCCCTTCGTGTCAGAAAAGCAAACTGCGTTGAGCGCTTATATGCGCCCTCCGTGTCACAAAAGCAAAATTTCTGAGCGCGAATATGCGCTCACAGTAGCCAAGGGGTTAAACGCTGCGACTCCATGGAACACAGGTCGACGTATGAATCGCCTCTCCTCTTTTCGACGTCTTCCCCGCAAAACGAGCGCGTCGATATCGCGTCAATCAAAATTTCCAATCAACGACTGTCGTTTAAACGTTCGACGTGGAAATCCGCATAGCCGCGAGGAATTCGCGTCGGACAGGCGTCATCGATCGCCGAGCCACGCTCGTTAATCCTAAGACGTCCGCTGGTCGCCAATGTATCTTAATTAACTCCGTATAACGGGCGTAATTGTGGAATAAACTTGCGAGGAAACGGGATCCGGTGATAGACCCGTTGCAGAAACGAAGGAGCCGTGTCTCTGGGACTATTATGGTCGAAATTAACCGGTGACAAGGGTGCGGCCTGCAATAACTGGCCTGCTGGACGCAGCCTGCTCCTGTGTCAACCGACGAAGGGACCCATGACTCGTGTTTTCGAGACGCACAAACACGCGATACCTGTACAGCATACACATATGCACGAGATACGGGCGGGACAATGACACGTGGCTTGATTGACAGCTGGTTGCGAGACAATCGGGATTGCTATGACTCAGGAGGAACCGCCTCGGAGAAAGTTTGACGAGGATGAAGACGAGTGATGAAATTGGGATTCATTTTTGCAGAGGAGACACGTATTGATCGTTCACTGTCAATTCGTAATAATCGATTTGCGAAAACGAGGTTGGAAGAGTTGTTTGACACATGACGCAGGAGCAAGCCTTGACATTCTCTGGAGCAGTTTTGTGCCATAAGGTATACTCGGCAAACGGATTACGCAGGGATTTTTCTTTGAGTATCTTACGAGATAACGATACTCGGGATGTTATTAATTTATGGAAAATGTACAAGAGTGACATCCCTCCGTGGAAAGAATTTTACAACAGTCTTCTACCCTGGGACGTTCGCGGTTGAGTCCTCGAGCGTGTTCCGTGGTAATAGGGAAGGCAACAAGTAAATATTCTGGATAACGCGTGACTTGGATTTTCCAGAATTTTTATCCGCAAGGAAGAGCTTTTATAGAGGCTATTCGAGGGTTGCAAGGCTACCTGTCTTTGAAACTTTTAATATCGCGAAGCTCATTTGAAAAATTCTTGCGTACCTTCTTAGCATTAAATAAACCCTTTTGGGTAATTTCGCAGTGCTGTAGAAAGCAGTTGGAATATTTCAAGCAGAGGAAACGTGGGAACCATGGGATACAGAGTTTATCTTATCAATTACAACCCGTGTTGACGATATTCACCTAATTACCACGATTCTCCTGCATGGAGACGCAACTGGGGTAAATTTTGACAGCAGAGTCAGCAGACCAAGTATTCCTGCTACTCTCTAACGTCGTTCTGACTGTAATAATGTTAGGTTTACTTTACCAGCCGACACATATATCGCGTAACCGAGGGTGAAAACTACCAGCGAGGTATTTCTCCCGAACTCGAAGATATTCACGAACGATCGCCTATATTTCGCGACTTCCTTGGCCGGTTGCTCGTAAAGTCTTGCGTAAAGCAAATGTATCGTCCCGTATACGTTAGGCGCATTGACAGGAAACGAGAGAAGGTCGATACAGGATAGTTTATGCGTGGCCTACACATCGAAACCCTTATGTATTGACCGCGCAGTTTGGTTCGCGCCGTAAAGGTTTATGGCGTTTCTAGGGGTTGTTAAACCCTCAACGACCGCTGTCAATTGGCATTTTTTCAGGAACATGGCCAAACGCGCGGACCACGTATCGTTCAGTCGATATTTTCGTATCAGCGAGTGAATATATAAAAGTGTACACGTACCACGAGCAATTTTCTTCCTTTTACCTTAAAAATTCAGGTAAACGATTGATCTTGTATTGCATTTTCGTAGAAAGAATTTTTAAGGATGATTTCAGATATTCCTTCTCGCATGGCAAATTCATTATGACCTGAGTCATGCATTTAAGAATTTTATTCAGCCTGTATTGAACATTGTCATATTGCTGAGTGGACAGAGTGCTCGTTAATACGATTGACGAGTGTTTGGAACGGTGTGATAGAGCGGATTAAGGGGATGTTTAGGCTAGACTATCAATGGAGTGAGAAGAATGAATGAGTTTCTGGAATGCACGTGGAATTTTTGGATGCTTGGCAGTATAGAAATAGCGTGTGTTTGGTGCGTGTATAAGAAGGGATCCCAAGGGATTACTTCAAGAGTGTCAGAAGGGACGTCTGAAACTTGCTACTCAGAGTTAGTCGTGAGAATGACGAGTCACGTAGTGAGCTGTATTTCAATTAATAAAATAAATATTATTAAGAAAAAGGAAGGCTCTATTTCTATTACACCCATTCCTACAATATGTGCTTCACAGTATAATTATATCAAAGATGAATCTAGACCAGGTATACCTAAGGTTTGTTAGGCAAGGGTCAAACATTATTCGAAAACCCTATCAATTATAGCTCCAGAAATTTCATGTCAAATGGAACTTTAAGGCGCGTTCTAAAAATTATACAATTTCATCGCGTGTTAGATTGTTTACTTCTCCATCGCTCTTGCGAAAGCTAGAAAGCTTTCAACAGACGTACAGTTTCAACCCACAAATATTTTCATCCATCGAAAATTTCGAAAATGCGATTTAGGTTCACCGAATTGCTCGTTGCACTCCTGACAGAATTATTCAGTGAAAGAACAGGAAAGAGTTCGGAAAATGCTCGATGAACCCTCGAATTCGGGGTTCTGTCCTTCGATCTCGAGATCTCGCGGAAAAAGGAAGAGCAAGGTGCAATAAATTACCCAGAGGAAAGCGTGAAAACTCTCGCCTCGAAAAAGCGTTCCCCTTTTTTTCCAGCACCGTAACCTTTTTATATCGCAAAGGTAATTCGTCCTTCAACGAGGCAGGAATTTTATTTCACTCAAAATGGCGATTCTGAAACGAAGGATGGGAACTTTC